GTGTGTGAAAGATAATTTTGTTTTTTTTTTTTTTTTTTTTTTTTTTTCCCTTTCTCTCTTCCGTACTTACCCTTATAAAGAGATGTATTGCATAATGGATACAAGATTGTTTAGCCCAATTCTGCCACTTTGGAAGAATGAAAATGAGAATTTTAGCATGATCAGTCCCCAAAGGTTAAGCCATCCAGTTTTCTTCAAATCTAATTGTTAGAGCTCTAGACATGCGGAGAGCTAGGCATGGCATGAATGGTGGAGTTTGGAAGGGAATTTCCACAGTAGCAAACTTAGAAAGCTGGCATGTATGATTTGTTTTCCATAAAGCACCTCAAAGGCCACATTTGGGGAGTATGGGATAGTTACAACTGTGGCAATTCCAGTATTGTTCATGGATTAGGAAGCATCTGATAGCAGAATCTGAAACTCAGTGAATGGCCCATGTGTGGTCATGGACACAGATGTGGGCGATGGGATATGTAAATAAAGCTCCCCTTACTTCATTTCTCTGGTTCTCAGTGTGAAGGCAGGGTGCCTTGGTAGGTTTGACGGCTAAATGAGACCTACCTACAGTCAGTTCTATAGTATCCGTGGGCAATAAAACCTGTAGTGGACCAATTATAGTATGGTATTTGGGGTCGCTGCTCACACTGCATAATGTTTTTAATTGCAGCCTTGCATTTAACAGTGTTGTAGCATGTGTGCATCACTGTCTCCTGGTCCAAATCAAGAATACTTCACAGTCTGGCAGAGCTCTCATTTCCTCTCTGCAGGGATTTAGCTATACACCCTATCACTCAAGACAATGACATTTAAACCTGCAACAAACATGCTTGGCCTTCTGTTAGGCCTTCCATCTGCAATGCTTTGTGTTTACGGTATAATTATTTCATGCTTTCAGATTTCAGTATATTGCACTTCTAGTCTGGTAATGCGGTAGGAGTAGAGTGGGTTTTGACAGTAAAACTTCTAGCATTGTGTTTCAGCGCAAAGTTGTCCAGTTTGTAGTGAAGCATGATGAAAGGCGAAAATTACTCCAGTTCATTGGTTATAATGTTTACTCTCACTGATTGTTCTAATAGAAGTGTTTTCCTCCCTAGTTAAGTGGGTCGGAGTTGGAAAATCAAGAGAGTCGATGATCCAGCTGTTTTAAACAACTGAAGAACTTCAGTGATGAGAAGCACAAATTAGCGTTCATCTGTTCCTTACTGCTTCCTCTTTAAATGGAGATGCTATTTAAAACCAACGTGTTCTTCTAGGAATTGAATAGAAACAAAACATATATTCTGTATTGTAACATTTTATTTATCTTCAAGTTCTCAGTACATTCAGTATAAAATCTCCTTAGTGGCCATGAACAAAAAAAATTGAAAAAGTATTCTTAACAAAATAAGGAAAAAATATTTTTTTTAAATTTGAAAGTATTTGACATCCATATAGAGTTATTTCTTCTTGCTGAAACCAGTATTAAGCCTTTTCCAGTAGTTACTGAGTAACTTCAAGATTGTGAAGCTTGGATTTGTTCTTCAATTTCAAATGTTAAAGTGTCTATGTATCTGGGTTGGCAGTAATAAGACAGATACCATGTACTTAAATTATACATATCTTCAGTTTCTAAAATACAGTAAAGTAAGGTAGGTATTTTTGACTGCACAAAGCAAAGCAAACACAATTATCTATAATTTTTATGTAATGATTTTTTAATAGCCCACTAAAATGAATGGAAAGCAGCTAAAGTATTTTTATCACAGAGCCTATCCTAGTAACTGAGATAACATCTGTAGAGGGGCCAAACTGGAGAAAGTTGACCTGTCTAATAATTCTTTCAAATATCCTGTGTCCTAACTGACAGTCCCTCTGGAGGCTGTCAGATGTGCAGTCTTTATTTTATGCAGTAGGGAAGGAGTGAGTGAAGGTGGAAGGAAGAGAGTCCTCAGGATACAAAACACACGGGGAGAGTGGAGCTGCGACAGCACACTGTGTTTTCTCAGTGAACCTGAGACATTTCTTCCTGCTGGTGCAGTGATTGTAATTTCCAAAGTTTTACTGTAGTTCTCTGTTGAGGAACTTGGGACTTGCGGCTCTGTAAGGCACACTTGCTTCCACAGCTCCTAGGTTTCCAAGAATAAATCAATGCATGACTTAATGATGACTGCTGCAATATTTACACCCCTCACATTTTGACCTTCCTCAGCAAAATGTAATGCCTATTTATAGAAGGGGATGACATGTGGCAGCCAGGGTTGGGACATGTAGAAGCCGTGAAGAGGTCCCAGAATCTTCAAGAATACACTTGCATTTCTTTGTGGGTCTTCTAATTTATAATGGTTATACATCAAGAGCTCTCAAAAAAAGGTCTACCTCTTGTAGAGGAAAAAGAATACACTAGAAATGGAGCTATTCCCTAACTGTGGAATTTTCCGAGTAAATGTTCCTTTTCTATATATGTCTCAGAGGGCTATAACAATATTTTTGTATCATTCCCAGGGGCTGTGGAAATGGCATCACAACCCCGGTAATGCCATTATGTAGTCTGTGAAAATACCCGTTTTCTGAAATGACAACTCCAAGGATACAAAATGATGACGTTCTTTGCATCAGAGATGGGGAAAAAGAAAAACCTATCCTGAGTATCTTGTGTCATACTCATCCCCTTTGTCTTTTCTCACTCAATACTAAATAATGGTTAATGTTCAAACCCATTTGTGTCAAGAAGCAATTACAAAAGTACCAGTACAAGCACGTAGCAAGCGCTAAATTTAACTGTTTACGGATGTATTGCTGCTTGTAAGGCAGAATTCTTACACCCTCCGGCTGCAGTGCAGTCTCTTAATACCCCGGTTCATCAGAGACTCTGGCTTTATGCCAGAAGCAAATACCCTTTATCTCTGGGGAAAAAAAAAAAAAAAGAGCCCAAAGCCATGAATCCTTAATTCAGCTACAGCTCTTTCATTGATCTTTGGCAAGTTGTTTAATCTCCCTGCTACTGTTTTTGCAATCTGTAAAATGACAATTACGAATACATCCTCACCTATTTTGCACTGGTTTTTTGGAGGTCTGTGGGTTGAGCCCTGCAGTCCTTGCTCTGACATTGATGAGGAAGTTCTCCCAGTCATATTTATGGATGTTCTAATAAAGGAGCAATGAGATTTCTGACCTTATTTAATGTTTGCAAAGCACTTCTGAAAGGTGCTTGGTAAGTGCTAATTATTACAAGCACTGTGAAATGTGCCTCATTTATATGAGGTAATTTAAGCATAAAGATGCTTGGAGGTACAGTAATTAAGTTTTGGTTTCATGTGGCTTAATGTTGTGACATTTGACTACTGGATGATCTAGCGTTGTTCCTTTTCTTGGCCCCATCTTCATCAGTGCATTTGTGCTAGGAGGTGGCCGCTATATTTAAGCTTTGGTTGATTTACAGGCAAAGTCCACAATGACTAACAAGCCACTCTGTCTGCTGAATAACTGGATTAAGTGATCAACTCCAAATGAAGTATTTGGCATATTGAAAAATTTAGGTTTTGTAGCTTCATTTTCACAGGATTACTTTCTCTTCTTCACCTAATCTTTTTATTTTCCATTAAGTAATTTTTCCATTAAGTCTCCGTTAGATACACATTGCCTGTCTTTGCATTGAAGGATTCATCAAAAACCCAGTGATGTTGTCAATGGGCATGATGTAATAGGCAATTATCCCCTGACTTAGTCTGTTACCATAAAAATAATGTTGTGCATTTCATTTAATTTCATAGCATGGATTTTTTAAATGAAAGTTCTAGTCCTATTGAATTTCATATGTGTTGTCATTGAGTTAAATGTGAATAAGTTCAGGCTTTTATCAAAAAGCTCTTTAATCTACTGAGTGACACAATGCTTAATAAGAACATTTTAATGTAAATTTGCTTTCATTTTGGCTGTTGCCCATGTGTATTATTTTGTATTGTTTGGAATTTCATTTTAATAACAATCACTGTGATGAATTTAATTTCTTCTTTCTTCCCAGCCAAATGCAATAATAATGACTAAAACTGGTTGATGCATCGTCCTGTTAGATATCTGGATAGAAGAATAAGGGTAAACATCTACCAAAATGGCATAATTTGTGGTAAAGATAATATTTTTTTAGAAGTAGCAATTACTGATTCACTCATGCACATTAATGTATTTGATGTATTTTCTGACACTTACCCTTAAAATATGGCCTTCATAGTCAGGTGTATGCTTCCTAACCCATGCAGTATAGGATTTTGAAAGCTTTTGTAATATTTAATTTGGCTATATATGGTCTTACAGTTCTGGCATAATGCACTTTATAAAAGGAAAGAAAATTAAGCATTTCCATAGTATGTGCAAACTATACTTAACACCTTATGCAGATTTTTTCAGATGAATTTTGGATCTACACCTGTTTATTTTGTCCTGAGAGACATATTAAAACTAATTTAAAATAACAGTTCTTGGTCTCTATTTCTCTCTCTTTTTTTTTTTTTTAACACAGTACACTTCATACAAAAACGTGGTTAAATATTTCATAGATTTTAAAAAATAACTAGCAGCATTACTGAATGAATGGGTATTTTCTTTCAGTCTACAGATTCTTAGCGTTTAGCCTTTTTTTAATGTATTCTATAAACTTTGTCACAGTTTCCCACTTACAAACTGAGCAGGGATCCACCTATACCACCGGGGATTCATGGTTAGTCATATTTAGTTAACTCACCTAGGTGAACAATGGTGTTACGAAGAAAAAAAACCCAACATTTTCTAATCAATGCAAAAATGTTCTTGCCGTACCAGCTGGCTCAGAACAACTGGTGTGAAGTCCATGCAGCTCTTTATCAACAGCACTGTGCTAGAAAGGAAAGGTAGGTACTAGCTTAGATAAATAATTATCACCTCTAAAGTGTGAGTGGGCTTCAGACAACAACTGTTAGGGCTTTCAGAAGCCTTTATAGAAATCACTCTTTTTCTCATCCATTTTAGAAGGAGCCTGAAACAGAAGGTGAGTGATCTGTACAGTAAATGACTGCAGGTTAATACACAATTGAGGGCAATGTCTGAAAGCTGTATGAGAACTGCTCTGCTAATTAACTAGTCTTTCTTCATTTCCTTTGCATCAGTAACATATATAGAAATTCATGTAGAATGGTCTTTGGTAGCCAAAGCATCTGAAGCAGTTTTATGTAACTCCATGTGACACTGGCAATGCCCAAGGCAAAAAAAAAAAAAAACACACCAAAAAACAACAACAACAACAACAACAACAACAAAAACCACAAAACTGAGGGAGTCTCTCTTTGCTGAAGTTGCCCACTGGGAAAACACTGGTTTGTTACTGGTCCACCTGTCTGTCACCTGGAGAGCTGAGTCTTATGATTGGGAGGGAGGAAAGAAGATAGCCTTGTAAACATGGGAACAATGTGACCATCTTGCCTTTGGAGAGTTGCAATTAATAGATGACTTTCCTGCTCCTACCCTCTTCTAGTAATACTTTACCGGGGGTCAAGCCGTAGCTCGCTCCTTATTCCTTGTGGAAGTGGCCCAGCTTCCTTTACAGTAACATTTCATATCCATCAGAGAGCCGGTTTCAAGCGCTAGATGTTTGCAAAAAGGGTGAGCTGACATCACCCTTTTAAGTAGACATCAGGCAAGAAAGAAAATCCATCTCCAACCATCTTGCCTTTAGAAGAAGTCCCAGTTGGTGGTATAGGCACTCTATCAGGGGAGTAGCCTGGGGATTTATTGGCTACTAATTCAAGTGAGTTTGTTAGTTCTGGTTTCCTCTCTTTATCAGGTCCATGTTGCTGTTGAAAAAGAGGGTGCCTGAGGCACGGAGCCTGCTCGACCATCACGTTGCTACCTGAGATTCATGATGTGTGGGAAGTGGTACTGTACAGCCTGCTTCAGGGAGGTGGGAACTGGGTTCTTTCCTTCCCAAGTCACAGGTCCATCACATAGGAGCTTTGGTAAGGAACACCTTTTACTCTCAGATGGCGCTGGCTGAACCCTTACATATGCTCAAATTTAAAGTAAAAAATTGTCGATTTAGATGTCAGCTATAGAGTGAGGCATTCAAGAAGTAAAGTCTAAATAAGGATTTCAAGATTTTGCTTTTTAATCTCTTACATACTTACAGGACATTAGTTGTTCTAAAACACCTTCATGTGTTAGTGATATCTACATTTCTGGAGTAGAGACTGCATTAAATATTTGTCCATCAGCCCTATGAGACTGTCTGTAAGAAAAAAAAACAACAAAAAAAACAGGAAAGAAGGTCTTCTGTAAGCACATACAATTTATAGCTTTCTTTAAGGTAGAAAATTTTGGCTAGCACCTGCTT